ACCTAGCCAAAAATTCAAAGTGGAAACCTACAAAAAAAAGAAGAAACGATTAGTTAAAGTTTCTTTGAAAAAAAAAATAATTTTGAAATATGAAACTTACCTGATCTGTTCAATATAAGTTTGAAGTGGAAACCTACAAAAAAAGGAAAGAAATGATTAGTTTTTTATTAAAAAAGTTTTCAAAGTCTAAGGATATTACAACTATACATGAAATTGAAATTGGTTAATTTTGATCTCCGAAATAGTCGAAATGGTCGAAATGATTTTGACTTGAGCCCCTCCAAAAGTCGAAATGACGTCATAGTCATATGATTTTATAGTAAACAATAATATTAAAATTCAAAGTTAACGAACTCCGCATCCAGTGATTCAATTTTTATGATTTTTACACGTAAGGTTGCTTGCCAAAATTAGGTAATTTAGGCCAAGGCCAAAACTTTTTTGTAGCCGAAAGTTTAGGCAATCAAAAATAAATTTGCTGAAATTTATAATGCCGAAATTATTGCCGAAAGTTTGAAATTTGACCGAAATTATTGGTATAATTCTGGCCATTTTTAGGACGTAATTCTGGCCAGAAAATGATCAACATTACAAATTTCCTTTTTTGGAAATTCGTGTACCCTTTGTGAAACTGATTTCACCAATTTTACTGGAAAACAAAATTTCCTTTTTTTGGAAATTGGTGTAATGTCACGTGACACAATGTCATAATTTCGGCTGAATTTTAATTTTGGCCAAAATTAAGACTGAGTTTCGGCCTAATTTCGGCATTTTCGGCATTTAATTTGATTGGCCAAAACCTTTCGGAATTTCCTTTTTAGTTTTGGCAGGCAATCTTATTTACACGATTGGATTCAGCTCATCATCGAGAGGATTCCAATGATATGTATTTCATATTTATAGCATCAATATTGACAGAGTTATTTACATTTAAAATTTGGTATTAAATAGTCTTATAATTTTTATAGTAAACAATAATTTTAAAATTCAAAGTTAACGAACTTCGCATCCAGTGATTCGATTTTTATGATCTTTACACGGTTGGATTCAGCTCATTGAGGATTCTAATGATATGTATTTCATATATGTAGCATCAATATTGACGGAGTTATTTATGTTTAAAATTTTATATTAAATTATAATTATAAAAAATCACATGACTATAATGTAATTTCGACCATTTCAACTTTAATTTCGACTTTTGACCTTCCCAAGTTGAAATATTTCTACTTTTGGGTTTTAATTTTGACTTCATATATAATTACAACTAATACTTATAAAATAAAAAAATAAATAAAAAAAATTAAAAATTTATTTTAAAGTTTTGAAAAGAAAATAAAGCTTCGAAACTCACCTATCCAAAATCCAAGAATTGAAAGTTGAAACCTACAAAATAAAAGAAAAAAAATTTAAAAACAAATTAAAAAAGTAATTTTTTTTAAAAAAAAGGTTCAATTCTTTCACTTCAAAACTTACCTATATATCCAAGTGCCTTAGAACTGAAAGAAATCTATAAAAAAAAATTAAAATAAAATTAAAAAAATATTTCTTTTAAAATAAGTTTCGAAGTTTTACTTCAAAACCCACCTACAGTGATAATGTGGTGGGATAACGTCCAGCTTAAATGATTTGGACTGGGACTTTCTGGGACATTGTCCAATAGTCCGTATCCCACTATGTCCCAATCAGTTAGTTGTCCATTGGACAAGTCCCACTTAAAAAATTTCTTGTCCGGCTGTCCAGCGTCTGAATATCCAATTGTCTCACGTGTAAAAATGGTCATCGGTCCTAAAAGACCGCAGTTCTACAGTTTTACACCATAAAAAGACAAACTGGTCCGTCTTAGTGTAGGACCACGGTCTTTCAGTCCTGTATCACATATAATAAGACCGTCAGTTTTTTTAAAAACTGTAGTCTTTTTAAGACTGATCAGTTTTTTTTCTTTTTTTTTTACAAATAAAAAAAATTTTTTCCTTAACTTTATTAGGAATAGCCTTGTTTTATAAATATGAACACTAATCAGGATGTTTTTAAATATACAAATTTTTTTTTTACAAATGATCATCACATGCATCATGCACTTACTATTATTGTATTAGTGATAATAATTGTGATATCTCGTCATCCAGTGATTATAAAAATATGAAACTATCACCATTCGAATCATCTCAATGAGTCGCGTCAAATGGTATCAAAATCATTATTTTATAATCGATAAAAAAAAAATTACATCGGCAAAACTATTTGATAACAAATTCAATAATTGCTAGCTATCTATCGATCCTGGAAATATGATTTAGCCACCATTCGACACATCTCGTTGAGACAATTCGAATGGTAGTGGTTTTATCATTTTATGATCACTGGATGACGAGATATTCTGCTTAAACACTTTTTTGGAGTTCATTGATGCATGGTAAAGGATATTCATCCCGTTTGGGGCGTTTTGACAGGCAACTCTACAAGTAGGGAGAAGTAATTTTCATTGTTTTGAATTGGTTGGTCTTTATATTATTTTATAAAGACCTTCATTAGATTAATAGATTTATTCAATATAAAAATCATTATTATATGAAGACTGATATGAGAACTGGTCAGTCCTCGGGACTGGTCCTACTGCACTATAAAAAAATGCAAGACCGCAGTCCGGTCCTACAAGTTCCAGAACTGACGAGTAGGACCAGTAGGACCGATGACCATTCTTACTCACGTGGCTGAAGATCAAACTTTTTTTACCGATTATTTTTTTTTTTTAAAAAAAAAATCTTTTTTTTTTTACGATAAACAGTTCAGCATTTTATTTTTTTATTAAAAACATTTTATAATTTATTCATAGCTTTTAAAAAATCATTTTTTTACACTACAATACAACTTTTCGTCTTTTACAATGCCACCAATATCAGAATTATTAAATGATTATATTATTAAAACTAAAGAAAAACTCAATCAGAGTAACCTTAAAACGTATTGCAAATTGCAAATGTTGTATTGATGTATTAGGAGAAGAGGAAGGAAAACAAATTTGTTTTCCAAATAAAACAGATAGAATAGTACAACATTTGAAAAAGTGCACTCATTTTCTCGCAGCAATAACACCTGAAAAAAGAAACGTTATTTTTTCATTATTAAAAAATAATGAAAAAGAATTAGAAAATAAACGACTATATAACATCAGCAAGTTTGAAAAGTGTTGATTCATACCAGTATACGTGTTGATCAACACCAGCTAGTTGTTCAAAGTGTTTACAATATTAATCAACACCCATATACTGGAATATACTAACGCATAATGTTAATATATGTGTCATTCAACTCTAATTGTGTAGTTTAACACATTATACAATTGTTGTTCAACGCACTGTATATTTACGCATATATATGATTACATATGTATATTTTAATTAAATTATATTTATTGATTTATTTTTACTCACCTTAGGAACTAAACTGGTTACCTCAACTTACAATATCATATCTCACAATCTAACCAATGTACTATTTAATTTAAGTATAATATACATTTATTAAAATTAGCATTTAAAAAAAAAATCATTTCGGCAATACTATAATGGCCGTAATGTACTCTATATCATGTGTATTACGTAATACTAGATTACTGCTGTGATAGCAAAAAAAGAAATTAAGCTTTTTTTAGCAAAGCTTAATTTTTTTTGCTTTTCCTCTTCGTTCTTCCCTTCCCTTTTGTTTTCCTATTACCCCTTCGTTCTTCCCTTCGTTCTTCCTTTTCCTTTCATTTTCCCATTACTCTTTATTTCTCCTCTTCCCTTTCGTTTCATTCTTTTCCCTTTTGTTCTTCCCTTTCTCCCCTTTCCTTTATAAAAGTTTTATCCGTTATTTCTGTAAAAACTCTGTAAAAATGAGCCTTCACTGATCCATTTACAGAAAATGTAATAAGTTGATAAATTCCATAATATAAGGTCATTAATTCCGGAGATATGAGCCTTTTACAGAAAAAAGTTTGGTGAGTTTTGCAATAAAATGTTGTGAAACTATTTTTCATTTTTTAACGAAACGTTAAAAAATATTTTGAAATAATTTTTTTTTAAATTTTTCATTAAAATTATTAACAAAACGTTTTTAATGTTTCAAAATATATTTTTTTTATTTTTTCTTTAATCGGAATATTGGTTCTAATTTTTTTATTTTTTCTTTTAACGAAACATTTTTAACGTTTCGTAATATAATTTTTTCATTTCTTTTAATCAGAACGTTGGCTAACGTTCTGATTATTTTTATTTCATTTTTTTAACGAAACGTTTTTAACGTTTCGAAATAATTTTTTTTAAATTTATTTAATCGGAACATTGGCTAACGTTCTGATTATTTTTTTTATTCATTTTTTTAATTAGAACATTGAAAAACGTTCCAAATTATTATTTTTTTTCATTTCTTTTAATCGGAATGTTGGCTAATGTTTTGATTAATTTTTTATTTCATTTTTTTAACAAAACGGTTTTAACATTTTGTTAATAATTTTTTTTTTCTTTTTTAATCAGAATGTTGGCTAACGTTCCGATTTACATTTATTTTTTCTTTTTTTAACAAAACATTTTTAACGTTTCGTTAATAATTTTTTTTCTTTCATTTTTTTTAATCAGAATGTTAGCTAACGTTCTGATTATTTTATTTTTTACGAAACGTTTTTTAACATTTTGTAATATTTTTTCATTTTTTTTTAATCAGAATGTTGGTTAACGTTCTGATTTACGTTTTTATTTCTTTTTTTAACGAAACATTTTTTACGTTTCGTAATGCTATTTTTTTTTCTTTTTTTTAAAATTTTTTTAATTGTTTGTTTTTTTACAAAACGTATCTAACGTTTCAATTTTTTATTTTTTTTAGGACCGCAGTTTTCTGGATGGCTCACAGATAGGAATTTTGAAGGTAAACCTTCAAATTTTTTTTGATTTTGTTTATTTTTAACGAAATGTATCTAATGTTTCGATTTTTTATTTTTTTTTAGGACCGTGGCTTCCTGAATGATTCATGGACAGGTAAAATTAATTTTTTTTTTAATTTATTTTAATGAAACATGACTAATGTTTCATTTTTCTTTCTTTTTTAGGTTCACGGATTTCTTTTTCTAAATGGGATTTCAAATATTATGGTAAGTTTCACAACAAACGTTGTGAAACTTCATTTATTTTTTAATTTTTTTTTTAGAAACGTTTCTAACGTTTCTTTAAATTCTTTTTGTAAGTCTTTTTTTTGGAAAACGGAGGAAAGGGTAAGTTTCAAAGCATTTTGCTTCGAAACTTTTAAAAAAAATTTTTTTTTTTAATTTCTTTTATAAGGAAACGTTTTTAACGTTTTCTTTATATTGTTTTTTTTTGTAGGTATTTCTTTGGGAATTGGGAAATGCAAAGGGTAAATTTCGAAACTTATAAAAATATTTTTTTTATTTTTTTTATAAGGAAACGATTCTAACGTTTCCTTTATAATTTTTGTAGGTCTTTCGGAAAAGTGCAAAAGTGCAAAGGGTAAGTTTTGAAGCGTTTTGCTTTGAAACTTTCTAAGAAAAAGTTTTATTATTTTTTTTATTATAAAGGAAACGGTTTAACGTTTCCTTTATATTTTTTGTAGATATTTCTTTGGGAAACGGGAAATGCAAATGGTAAGTTTTGCTTTAAAATTTATAAAAATATTTTTTTCATTTTTTTTTATAAGGAATGTTTTTAATGTTTCCTTTATAATTTTGTAGGTTTTTCGGGAAATGCAAATGGTAAGTTTCGAAGCGTAATTTTACACTTCGAAACTTTTTAAAAAATTTCTTTTTTTAAAAACATTAGAAAACATTTCTAACGTTTCTATATGATATTTTTTTGTAGGAATTTTCGACTTCAAATCTTGGATAGTATAGTAAGTTTTGAAGATTTGAATCATAAAATTAATTTTTTTTAATTTTTATTAGGAAATGTTTATTAACGTTCCTTTATTTTTTTTTTTGTAGGTTCAGAAGTTGAGTTTGAGAGTTTAAACTGGTAAGTTTTGTTAAAAACAAAACTTATATTTTTTTTAATTTTTTTATTAGGAAACTTTCTAACTGAAGTACTGAACGTTTCCTTTCTTTTTTGTAGTTTGGGAATATCCAGTATTAGATACGTGGTAATTTTGCATGAAACTTTTTTTAAAAATGTTTTTTATTAGGAAACACTTACTAATGTTTCCTTTGTTCTTTATTTTTAGGTTTCGGAATATCTGGATAAGGGTAACGTAAAGTTAAGTTTCATTTCGTCACAAAATAATATCTTTAAGAAACGTTCTAACTGAACGTTTCCTTTTTCTTTTTGTAGGTTCAAGAGTATGGAATTGGATACGGGCTATAAAATGGGAAGTTTTGTACATTTTGTTATGAAACTTCCATTTTTTTTTGTTTTTTTTTTTTAAGAAACGTTCTAACTAAATGTTTCTTTTTTTTTGTAGGTTCTTTTCAGCTCTGGATTTTCTTTCGTAGGTCAGTTTGGTACTTGGATTTTTTTTTATAGGGAAATGAATAAGTTTCATAATATAACATGAAACTTTTCTTTAATTTTTTTTTTAGGAAATGTTAATTAATGTTTCCTTTTTCTTTTCTGTAAGTTTTGGATTTCAGTTTGGGTCAACGGTGAGTTTCGCAGATTTGTGAAATTTATTTTTATTTGTATTTTCTTTTTTTGAAAATGTATTGTTGACACCTATATTTCTTTTATTTATAAGCTTCAGGATTCCGAGCTAAAGATTGGTGAGTTTAGTAACATTTTGTTACAAAACTTTTCTAATTTTTAATTGATATTGGATCGATCGGATCATAAGTTTCATAATTATGAAACTTCTATTGTCATTTTTTTAATATAAACCATTTTCTAATATTTCTTTTATTTTTGTAGGTTTCGGTCAGCTTTTGGAATATTGGATAAGATTGTGTAAGTTTTGTTAACGAAACTTTTAATTTTGTTTTTTTTATTTGAAACCCATCTTGTTATGGTTGTATCACCAGGGGCACTTTGTTAACGGAAATTTAGTACATTAATCGCTTAAAAATCTGCAACAATCCAATTATAATAAGAGGTTGTATTATTTGCATTGTACTGTATTTTATAAATAAATATACAATATTTTACAATTAAATTTTATATGTTAATAATATACAATAATATATATGTTAATAAATTACTAATTTTACAATTAAAGTTAATTAACTAACATATGATGACTAAAAAATACCGTTGCTATACGCGTTTTTAATATCAATATACGCGTTTTTATACATTTTTAAACTATCATTGTTTTACTATGTGTAGCTTTACATTTAAATTAGTGTTGTTTTACGCGTTTTTAAACATTTTTAAGTAGCGTTGATTGATAAAGGGTTCGTTTCTTTACATTTTTTAGTGTTGAGTAACACATGGCGTTTTTCAATACTTTATACGCCTGTTTAAAACTTGCTGATGAAGTATTAAATATTTTACTGTATATGTTTTTTTTTTTAAATTAATACTGATTTCAATTTCTTTATAGCTTCACATTTCAGTGATACAACTTTCACTTTTTCTGATTCTTCTAGAAAAGTTATTATTCGTTCTTCTTATGGATCACTTGATAATTTTATTGTTAGATCATTGTCAAAGGAAGATAGAAAAAAATTTAATACATTATTAATTTGATTAACAGTTTCTTGTAGATGGGCATTGCATTGGGTTAATAATCCTAAAGCAAAAGAACTATTTGAGTTTCTTAGTCTTTTCCTTAAACTTCCTGATCGTAAAACTCTTGGGAAAACAATTTTGAATGATGTTATTTCTTAAGCAGATGATGCAATGGAAATTGCATTGAGAGAAGATCCTGTAAATATTATACTTACGTTTGATGGCTGGATGAATGTGAAGAGTGAACAGTTATTAGGTGTAGTTTTAATGACGTCAGAGGGAAGGCCTTTTGTATGGAAAGCAGCTGATATTAGTTCAGAAAGGGAAACACATCTTGAAGTGATGGAAAAAACAGAAGCTATGATTGCTGATTTAGAAAAAAAAGTATTAATGTTTGTGCTGTTGTAACAAATAGTGCGGGTACATATGCTACATCCAGGTAATTTAATTATAATAACATTGTTTTTATTAAATATAAGTATATTTTTTAATAAATTATTATACTCTTAAACGAAAATTAAGGTTTTCAAATAGAAAAATAACTTTTTTGCCCTGTTTTGCGCACTAACTCAATCTTTGCATAGGCGAAGTATTTAAGGAGTCAACTGATTTAAAAGTATCAATGAATCATGCAATCAAGCTCGCAACTTACTTTAGAAACGCTAATAATAAGTTATTTATAGCAAAATTACATGATTAACAAAAAATTACTTATGGAAAATATTATACATCAGCAGTTTCAGGCGAAACTCATTGGAACAGTTATTAGAGAATTCAACAAGCTTTACAGGTAAATTTACACTATTAATTAATAATGCAATTAATTAATTAAATTTATTAATTTATTTTTTTTTATTGTACTTTTAAGATATTTGCAATAAATTACAAACCATCTCTTAATCAAACTCGAAGAAAGACAGAAGAAACTCCAACTATTTCACACAAAATTTTTGAAATTATTGATTCAACTACATTTTGGACTAATATAAATACAATTGTAGAAATATTATATCCTTATTGTAAGTTTCTTAACATTCTTCAACAAGATAAAGCACGCTTATTTCAGGTTATTCATAGTCTTGCATATCTTGCACAATTTTGGAATAATTATGAAGATACTCAGCTTTCTGCAAAAATATTATTTCAATTAGAAAAAAAGTGGAATGACTGGGAACAGCCACTTCTTTTGTTATCATGTTTATTACATCCCGAATATCGTATGAGACAATTTAAAGATAATGTGAATATTAATTATACCACTTTTGGTAGATGGCTTGTTTATTATTATTAAGCATGGTCTGGAAAAGAATCAACTTGTATTTTACGTGAATTTGATGATTTTTGTTTGGAAAAATATCCTTTTGATAATAATACATATAAGCAATTTAATAGTGATATTTGGAGATACTGGTGTTATGCAAAGGATTCCACTAATGAATTAGGTTTTGTTGCTTGTAGATTATTTGGAATTTGCATAAATGCAGCTTTTGTTGAGCGTCTTTGGAGTTGTATGGGGTTTTTGCAATCAAATTGGAGAAATCGCTTAATGTTAGTAAGTATTATTTTTGTGAAATTATACATATATTATATATACATATTTTAATATTAATAAATTTTTAGTCATCAAAGGCCCTTAATATAAGCAAATTAAGAGCAGATATTACATGGAAATATCATGTCAAGTCTAATTCTTCTATTCCAACTCCACTTAGTATGTTGAAATGAATAATGACGAAAATTCCAATGAAAATTCTAATGAAAATTCGCATGAAAGTCCTAATGAAAATCCTAATGAAAATTCCAATGATTTAGAAGAATCTGATAATGAGGAGATAGATTTAAGTCATTTAACTGATTTAGAAAAGGAATTTGGTAATTATTTACAGGGATGGGCAGAAATGTTAGAAGAAGAAACTCTCAAATTTCAAAATGAAGAAAATGAAATTAATGAAGTAAATGAAATAACAGTTAGTGATGTTACTCATCCTGCAGTTGATACAAATGCCAAATGGGATTTAAATTCTCTTTTTAAAGAATTAGAATTACCATTTTAATAATAAAGTTTTGCTATTAATTGAATTATAAAATACTTTTAAATTAAATAATATTGTTATTTGTTTAATTGTCATAAATTTTAATATTTATTTTTTAATAAAATATATATCAAATATATATCAATATCTCAGACATTACCAAGTCTTTGTCCAAGGACGTGGATTGTCCGGACTGTCACATCTATGGACATGTTCCGTTCCAATCACAATACTGTCTACCTATATATCTAACGTCTAAGAACTGAAAGAAACCTACAAAATAGAAGAAAAAAAAATTGAAATAATTTTTTCTAAAAAAAGTTTCAAAGTTTAACTTCAAAATTTACCCATATATTCAACACCCAAGAACCAAAGGCCAAAACCTATAAAATAGAAAAAAAAAAAATTTAAAAAAAATATTTTCAAAGAGTTTCGATTCCTTCGCTCTGAAATTCACTCATATATCTAATGTGAAGCTGAAACCTAAAAAAACCAAGATTTGTATTTGTACTTATGAATCTTAGTTCATTTATTTGTCAGAAATCCACTCAAACCTATAAAAAAAAATAGAGAAACGGTTATTAGTAACCATTTGTAATTTTAAAAATAAAAAAAAATAAAACCAAGATTCATATATACTTATAAATTTTGGTTGGAAACCCACTGAACCTATAAAAATAAAGAAAAGAACGGTTAATAACCATTTTTCTTAATATTAAAAAAAATAAAACCAAATTCGTATATACTTACAAATCTTGGTTTTTTCCGTACCTACAAAAAAAAAAGAAACGATTAGTAAATCTGAAACTTACCTTTGGGATTTTGGTATTCACGCCAGAACTGATATCCCTACAAAAAAATAAAAAAAAAACATTAATTTTTAACATTTTTTTATTATAGTTTTAAAATTTTTTAAAACTTATTTTTGGAATTCGGTATTTACACTGGAACCAATAGCCCTACAATTAAGTATAAAAAAAACATTAAAAATGTTTTTTTTAAAGAAGTTTTGAAAATAGTTCAAAACTTATCTGGAATATCAGCGTCCATGTTGGAGCTAATTTCCTATACAAAAAAATAAAAAAATAACATTTTTTAATATAAAAAAACGTTTTTATAGCTAATTGCAAAATTGTAAGACCACTCTATGATTTTTTAATTTGAAAATTTAATATTTTGAATTTTTCAAAAATCAGTAAAAAATCAAGTTAAAAACCTGTTTATTCAACTCCTTAAATAAAAATAGAAACATGTCATATGATTCAATATAAATAAATTACTTTAAAATCTTTATTAATTTTAAGGAGTTAAAGTTATTACCAAAATAGGTATTTAAACTTGCTTTTTTACTAATTCTTAAAAAATTCAAAATATTAAATTTTCAAATTGAAAATCATAGGGTGGTCTTACAATTTTGCAATCAGCTGTAGAAACTTTAGTTTTGAAACTTACCTGGAATATTGGTATCCACGTCAGAACTGAATTTCTAAAATAAATATAATAAAAAAAAACGTTTTTAATATTAAAAATGTTTTATTAAAGAAAGTTTTGAAAGTTTTTTTCAAAACTTTACCTAGAATATTGGTGTTCACATTGGAGCCAATTTCCTGCAAAAAAAAATTAAAAAAACGTTTTTTAGTTAAAAATGTTTTATTAAAGAAGTTTTAAAACTTTAGTTTTGAAACTTAACTGGAATATTAGCGTCCATGCTGAAACCGATTTCCTAAATAAAAATAAAAAAAACGTTTTATTAAAGTTTCAAAACTTTAGTTTCAAAACTTACCTGGAATATCAGCGTCCATGTTGGAGCCAATTTTCTATACAAAAATAAAAAAAAATTAACATTTTTTAATATAAAAAAACGTTTTATTAAAGAAGTTTTGAAACTTTAGTTTCAAAACTTAACTGGAATATCAGTGTTTACGCTAAGGTTGGCAAATTGGCAAAATGCTGAAATGGTAAACTTTGCCGAAACTATATGAAAGTCTTATTAAAAAGTTGGCAAAACTTTGGAGAAAAGCAAAACCTGACGAAACCTATTATAAATGCCAAAACTGCCAAAACTGCCAAAACCTTGCCAAAACTATAATAAAACTATAGTAAAATTTTGGAGAAACTAATCATAGAATTTTGGAAAGGTTTAGGCAGGCAACCTTAGACTATACTGGAGCTAATTTCCTATAAAAACATAAAAAAAAACATTTTATTAAAAACGTTTTATTAAAGAAAGTTTTGAAAATTTTTTTCAAAACTTTACCTGAAATATTGGTATCTACGCCAAAACTGATTTTCTACAAAATAAATAAAAAAGCGTTTTTTATTGTTAAAATCCAAAACTTATCTGGAGAAACGGTATCTATGCTGGAACTGATTTCCTAAATAAAAATAAAAAAAACGTTTTTTTCATTAAAAAACGTTTTATTAAAGTTTCAGAACTTTTTGTTCTAAAACTTATTTGGGGAAATGGATTCATATTAGAACCGATTTCCTACACAAAAAATATAATAAAAAAACATTTTTTAGTATAAAAACGTTTTTTTTAAAAAATCTTTCAAAACTTTACCTGGAAAATAGTAATCACGCTAGAACTGATTTCCTATATAAAAGTATAAAAAAAAACATTAGAAAACATTTTCTTTAAAGTAACAGTTTTGTAAAAAAAATTAAAAAATCAGAATGTTAACTAACATTCTGATTGAAAATATAAAAAAAAATTAAATAAAACGTTAAAGAACATTTTGCAAAAAAATGAAAAAAAAATTTAACAAAATATTAAGAAATGTTTTGTAAAAAAATAAAAATATTAAAAATCAGAACATTAAACTAACTAATGGTTTAATGATCCGATAAAAAATTGAACAAAAAAAAAATTTCAAAACATTTAAAACCGTTTCATTTAGAAAAAGAAATTTTTTTTTTTTTTGAAATAGTTTAAACTATTATTTAATAGTCTAAATTCGGTAATAGATCAACTAATTACTGTGGCTGTGGTTTAGTACATTGTCACTGATCTGCCGTTATTGATATGAATTAATTAAAAAATCAGTTAAAAATTGTCAAAAAAGTTTTTAAGTTGATTGTTGTTATTAATAAAAATCAATAAAAAAAATAGTATTGGTCAATTTATGGATTTTTTTATGTTACAACTCAACCAAAAATCGACCAAAAATTGACTAGTTGATTTATGCTAAATTTTTTTTCAATTTTTGTAATTAGCCGAATGTTTGACGAATCACGTGATGATGATGATAAACTTTTGACAAAAGGTATTAATGCCAAAAGAATGATTTTGACCAGTGCTAAGGATTGTTGGCAGAAAAGGACAAATTCCTATTTGGTTTACTTATTTAAAAAATAATATTTTAACTTCCTTTCACCCTTGTCCTGGCTGTTCTCGTAATGTTTCTAAATATGCCATCCATTCTGTTATCAAAAGCCATTGTACTAGTGAATGTTATTTCTTTCATACCTTATTATCAGACATTGTAGTAGGGAATAACGTAAAGTTGACAAAGTTCATCTTACGTTCCGTGCCTTACATGTTTATGATATTCACTTTATTTATAGATTCCTTTATTCTATTCCAAGTAGTACTGTAGCCTATCCTACCAAGAATGCTAAAGTCTTTGCCACTGGATGGCCTATTACACTACCTCTCTAGCCATGTCCTCTCTTAGCCTCAACAAGTTAATGATAACATTATATCTGTCTTACCTACTTCTGCTTGTACTTTATACACTGATAGGTCCTTTCTTAAAGCAACTCCTATGACTTAACCTTTCATGTCTACAGTTTGGATAGCCCTTGATGATGATGGTCTTATTTTGGAATCTTCATCTACAAATATTCCTAATACTTATTCTTCTGCCCTCAGATCTGAAGTGGCTGCTCTTTTAGTGCATTGTCTCCAGGCTTTTTTGTCATTGTACACACTGATTGCACTTCTATAATTTCCTTTTGGCAACAGTTTGTTGATAAACCTTTTCTGCCTAAGCTTTTGTGTCAATCTAATCATTTACTTTGGCTGTTCATCTGGAATCTTTTACACACTAATAATTTATCAGTTGTTTTTAGCAAAGTTTCCGCTCATAAAGAAGATCTCCTTAATAACCATGTACAAGTCAAAATCAAGGCAAACATAGCATGAGCTTGAATTTTATTAATTAATGCTGAAGTAACTTTAGAGAATACAGAGTATTCTAATCTGATAAAAAACTCTTTTCCAAATACACATTTTTATGAAAAATTTTTGCAAAAATTTTTTTTAAAATTTGTTCTTTTATTATAAAATTTTTATGAAAATGTCTGGAAAGACTGAACCTTCACTTTTTATCAAGGGAGTTCACTGAATTTTTTTTAACGGTGCTGAACTGGCTTTAGCAACCTTTATTCCTACCTACAACAAATGTTTTTAAGTACTTTAAATAAAGTTACTTTCCTAATGACCTAAAATATTTTGCAGAACAGTCCAAGGTCACAAATATACAACCTATGATTTTTTCGTTAATAATGTCTATAGTCTCTCATGCTGTGGCTACAGGGTGGGATGCCTATAAACAGGCGCTTTATGATAACAAACAAGAAGCAATAGGAATATCTGATTTGGATGATTCAGATAATTCAGCCAAGGATTGTGACACAGATGATATAATAGAAAATATGCCAATAACGTCTATATCAAATCCAGTTCCGATATTACAGCCTGAATTACCTGATGTGGTAATGATTTCTATTGATCAGTCAATAATTTATCCACACCCGCTATAACTGAAGTACTGACAGGATATGAAGTATCAAGTCCAGAAGAACGTGAGCACATCTGTGACATAATAGTATATGACATTCCATTTACCTGGTCTGCTGAAAAGACAGTACAAATATCAAACCCTTAGGGTAAAAATAGCGTTGTTCTCATTTTCCTTGCTGCAGTTTAATAATAATTGGGCTACGAATTTAGGAGGTATACCAGTGCGATGGTTTCCTGCAAATTGGAGTCTCTGCGAACAAAAACAAAGAGAAAAATTCCAGGCTGTAGTTTACAACATTCTGGAAGAAGTCACTACGAGCACCTTGTGGAATGACTGAAAACCCACTACTTACTTATGTGAACTTGGGGTTAAGTCATTTAAGATTATACAAACAGGTAAAGGCAAGAGGAAACTGCAAGGTCTTAGATTACCATCAAGTTTTGAGCTCAGAAAAGATCAGGTTGCCATGGTGTTAACACTCTATGCCTAACCTAAAGAAAATGCCCTCAACTAAAGACCATTCTGGAGGAAAAAAAACCTGTTCCAGTAATGCGAAATCAAAGAAGAAGGATGATAAATTCTCACCTAAAGCTCCTGATACAAGTAATAAGTTGAAGAAACCCCTGGGCCAGAAAACGAAAGCAATAGTTCGAACAAGGAGGTTTTAGCAAAAATTTTAGAATTATTACGAAAATTAGTTTAGTCCTAATAGAATTTAGTTATTTCTACTAATTTCTTGATATTAGCATAGCTGAATAATTTATGTGTTGTACCACAATTTCTTGTGTACTTATAGATAGGTTTTTCTTTTCAAAAAGTTAGGGTTAAATAATAAGAATACAGAGTATTCTAAAAAGAACCATAACAAAGTACAGAACTAATAGAAAAATAAAGAACAAATAATCTTCTGAAAATTACAAATAAAGAAAAGCTAAGATTATTAAACTCCACCCTCTCTATACAAATAACTATGGCTACTCCCCCGCAATCTATTTTAAAATTGGTAAAGTTGACTATATTATACGTAATCCAGCATACAAGAACCCATGTTAAGCATCATCAGTCAAGTACTTCTGAGCCACCATTAGTACTCAAAAATGTATAAAATTCAATTTCCCCTATTTGACTATATACTATGGATAACAAACTACTTCACAAAGGCCTCTGAGACAGCCGATAGGAAACTTTTTAGTGTCATGTAATCCCCAAAGGGACACCCACCTCATTGCAAAAATCCTAAACAGAGGATACCCACCTTATTGCAAATGATCCATCGACCTAAGATTTACCTAGATAAGTCAATCCAATGATAATCCAACATGTGACCACCTTAATCGGCATACTACAAAAACTGCCTGAACAATGATTAATTTTCAAAATGTAACACCAAGTCACCATGACGATCAAATCTCTACTAAAACCGCCTTGTTATCTTTATTACCACCCTTAATCTTCGAGGTATTCTTTGCCTTCTTCTGATTCTTCGGGTGTTTCTCCTCCTGGTTATTATTTTTCGGGACTTTCTTCGAGGATGTAGGTTTATCCTTCTTCTTAGGCTGATTACGATCCAAATTCTTATCAGACTTACCTGAATTTTTCGAATTCGGTGTATTTTTAACATTCGGTTTAATTTGTGCTTTCTTCAAGGTAGGAATGGAGTGTCGACACCATTTCAACTCCTTACCATCAGGTACGAAAAACTGTGCGTATCTAAGGCCCTTAGTGTGGTCTCCCAATTCTCGAAATAGGCCACAAGTTTCCTCCGTCCTTTGCTTGTTTGAATTACTTTAAATGAGCTAGCACCGCACTTCATTAAAAATTCACATGGTTTACGGTCCATCCATAAGGTAGCCATCGTCATATCTTCCGGAATGTCATGAATAATGGCTTGGAATTTTTCACGTTGCTTTCTTTCTCGTAAAGTCCAACTTGCAGGGAACCATCTAACGGGTATACCTCCCAGGTCTGTCGTCCAATATTTGTTAAACTGGGGAAGGGCAAATGAGGAAAGAGCTATTTTGACTCGAAGAGTCTGATACTTATGTTGCCGTTTAACGGAACATTTAATAGCGTTCCCCCAAAATTTTAACTCTGCTATTATTTTCTGCAGGTTCCAGGTATACGGGATATCGTAAACTATTATGTCTCGGATTCGCTCTTGCTCCTCTCCGACAGCTTCGTATCCTGTCAGTATCTGCGTAGCCTCCGGTTCGGATGATTTCTTTCCCTTTTGGAAATTTTTGGCTGATGTTTTCACATTAGGTTTTGCCTTTGTTGATTGGTTCGCGACTTGTTTATTATCTGTAACACGCGCCTTTTGTTTATCTTTCTTCCGAGAATTTTCGGGTATCACAGTTTGATCAACAGGGGTCATTACTATATCAGGCATTGATGGAAGCTTGATAGGTACTGGATTTGGTGGTTTTATAAATCCTTGGCGTAAAAGATCATCTTCATCAGGTCCAAGCGGAAATGACTCATCCATCAGATAATCATCAGTATTCTGAGATCCATCATCGTCGTCGTCATCATCATCACCTATATCGCCAAAATTGCAATAGAATTGGGTAGAAAAATTATCCCAAGACTTGGACGCAGCATAGAGCGCTATAGAAAATATTAGCGAAAGGGTGGTGGGTTGTATATTCGTAGCTTGAGCTTGTGTAGTGAAGTTCGCAGGGTTGGCTGTTTCGCCAAACTCCTGTATCAGTAACTGAGCTTTATCCTTAAGTACTGAGGGGTTTTTTTTCAAATAAGTCTTTGAGGAAACCGTCCTGTACAAAAGAACTTAAGTGATGTGTAAAAGTTTGAAAATAAATTTCGTTAAACTTAGAAACGAAGTCTAAAGCTTCTTCGTTTGGTGTTCGGCTCTTATCCATAGACATTTTTATATTTATGTAATAAAATTTAATAAAGGGGATTATTTTTTAAAAAAAATTATTACGCAGAAATTTTTGTAAAAAATGTATTCGGAAAAGAGTCATCAATCACACAATTGTAAATGGTTATTTATATGGGTAGTCTAAACATAACGCCCACGTGATTGCAGTGTTTTTTAAATATTAGATTAAATGTATCACATAAATTTATATATAATTTTCGCGTTCTAATAGAGTGTACAGACAAAGTTAAATTAAAAGCAAATACGATGTATGACAAAAGTTTATTGATAAATCATATGTACACTAAAGGTTATAGAAGGAAAAAAAACTATTTTAAAACTATTCATCATTAGAATTACAGCTGATTGCAAAATTGTAAGACGGTCCCTATGATTTTCAATTTGAAAATTTGATATTTTGAATTTTTCAAGAATTAGTAAAAAAGCAAGTTTAAATACCTATTTTGATAATAACTATAACTCCTTAAAATTAATAAAGATTTTAAAGTAATTTATTTATATTAAATCATATGATATATTTCTATTTTTATTTAAAGAGTTGGATAAACAGTTTTTAACTTGATTTTTTACTAATTTTTAAAAAATTCAAAATATCATCAAAATATCAAATTAAAAAATTAAAAAATCATAGGGTGGTCTTACAATTTTGCAATCATCTATAACATTATTTTTTCTCATCCGCATTATTTTTTCTGCTTTTTAATGGATTGTTCAAGTTTGCAGGACTTTTCAACAAAATGGAAATATGTTGCATATTGAAGATCTTCTAATTTTAGTATTTTTCCTAACCAGTGAGAAGTACCATGATATTCTTCTAATACAGAACCCAAATGTGCAATGAAACGAAATGGATTAGACTCACATGTAAATTGTGTACGGTCTTTGCTTATAATTGGAATAAATTTACATGCTGAATCCGGCTTGAGATCATACAAGTGTGCATGAATTTTTCCTTCGTTTAAACCAGATAATAAATTTACACGAACATAGCTTGATTTACGTTTCTTAGATTTGTAAAAAAACCATAAATTTTGAAGAATAATAAAAAAATTCAGTAAAAATAATAAAAATTAATAATAAAAATCTCCTCTTTTGAATTTAGATGATTGTGGATTTATTTTTGTGGAATAAAAGACCTTTTTGCATGCAGTTTTCCATTGTGTAATTCGTCCTTTTGTTCTTGCTTGATGTTCAGTATTACTTAATCAATCCTGATGAATAGCAGCCATAATATTCATTGTGCCTAGTTCAGTGACTACTGTGAGATTATTTTTATTGAGTGTAGCTTTATTTCCAACTTTTTTCTTTTCTTTTTGAGTAAAGTAATCATATTTTTCTAAAGTATCAAATAATTTATTAAAACATTAAAAATAAAGAATAATAAAAAATTAAATTCAAATTATCTCGATAATATGACATTGTTTGCATTATTGCTAATGGACTCAATTCATGAGTTTTTCCAAATGCCTTATTTATCTTTTCAAAAAAATTATCCTCAAAATCCAGTTCCAAAGTTGATTGAATATTTTTATTATCCATTTCATCTAAATCATTATTAGGAACGTTAAGATGTTCAGGAAATTTGGATCTATTCAATATGCGTTGTTGATGTTGTGTGAGCAATTTGCCAATATCACATTCATTATCCAATTCATCTTCTGATTCACCCTCAAGTTCATCAGTTTCACTTGTGTTCTCCATAGGTATATTATGATTATTTATTTTTTTAAGTGAATGTAAGAATTGTTGAATTAATTCTGAAAAAATTTCCTTATTTACTACTATGCCAAGACTGCAAAGTATAATTTTCATAGCATACAAAGTCTAAAATTTCAGTAACATACAATTAATAACAATAAATGATGGATAAATATAAGATAATAATGTAATATATATCTTTTGTATCATATTATCAATATCAAAAATTGATGGAAAATCTGTCAAATTTTTTGGCAATTTTTCTTTAACTGTGAATAATTTGATATTATAACCATCATTATTATCTGGTCTGATCAAATAACCTAAGATTATATATATAATTAATTTAATTATTTTTAAAATAACTAATAAGTTTTAGTTAAATTACTAATCTTTTATTTCAATCATAATATTTTTTAAAATTTTTTCATTCATTGATAAGAAATCTAGTACAGTAATATCTTCAATAAACCGTTATGCACAGCCAAATATATGCTCAAGAAAGGCAGTAGAAGGACATAAAGGATAATTTGAATAAAAATTTGGCCATTGTTGAATTAATAATATCAAGGTTAATCCCAGATAGATAAAATCATCGCATGATTGCCAAGATATTCCAAATTTATTTCCATTACATGTGGCTTGATTTGCTTTTAAAAATGTTGTACTCCTGCAAAAAAAATGCATGCGCCCCAAGCAAATCCTACACGATATATATGGGCCATGCTATGTGATTTCCATGATTTGAACAAAATTCCACAAAAAAAATAGTAACAAGTGTTAGTGGTCCGAACTGGTGATCCTCATTTCTAATTTTTCTTATTTCGCTCATATTATTTGTGATAAAATGTCTTCAACTATATCCAAATAACTAATAACTGGTTGAAAATCAAGTGAAAAGTTATCACTAAAAAAGGAAGCAACATGCTGAAAAGGTACTTCAATTACTAAAGGTACTACCTTTGAACCTACTAAATATTTAGAATTATTTGTTGAAACAGAAGAAAAAGAGAGTAGCACTGGACCTTTACAAAACGAAGATAAAAAGGAGGTTCGTTGTAGTTGGACTAATTATTATTAAAATCCTTCTTTATTAAATAAAATGAAACAAAAGGATTACACTACATGCTGATGACTGTGCAATAAAATATAAATAAAAAAATTATATTTGTCAATTTATCATCAAAAAAAATGTTAAAATTTAAGCTTTTAAATTAATTATACTATCCGTTTCTAACCACAATTGCATATCCGGTTATGTTACAGGTGGATATGGATTTCAAACAGATATGACCCATACAGATCAACAGATCACTGGTTTGGACCACTAACAAACGTTTCATCATCATTATTTTTTACAGAATAATCTGTAAAGCCTATGAATAATAAATAAATTATTAATTGTATTTTTTAACTAAAATTACTTCACATTTTACTTGCCTTTTAAAACAGATGATGAAAAAAATCTCTCAGCTGATTCATCTACCTGCTTATCTTTAGGATTAAGAATATTACTTGTTAAACCTGAATAAATTTCAGAATTTTCTTTTAAAATCCACAAATATTCAGTAGACATAATGTAATATCACTATTATGCATATTTCGTCCTTAATAATCAAATAAAAATTTATTTATATAAAATCAAAATATAATTTCAGCATATATTTACCCTTTTTCACACAATGATAAATATCTGTTCCACAAATAGAATAAGATTCTTTACTTTATTCTTTGAACATTATTAAATAATAGGCGTTCCAGTATCACAATAATGACAATAAACTTGATTATTACTAAGTTTTTCTAATTTTAGATCTTTTAAGAATTCACCAAGTATTGGTATCTTTTGATTACTTTGAGTTTTAGTTTGGACTTTTGGTTTTATTGCCTGTTTAGCATTTATAAATAAAGAGTGTAGAATTGTCTTTTTGTATCTTCTCTCTGTGGAAGGACTATCATTTACTTTTACAGGAAAATTCAATTTTGTCTGTACTAAGCTTTACGTTTCACTGTTGCTGTTTTTCTTCTATTTAAAACATTTAAAACAAAGAACGTTGAAAAAAAAATTTTAATTGCTAACCATAAAAATATTATATAACGCGTACATTATATGTACTACAAATCTATATTCAATTGTACATCATACACTTATGTCATATACTATGAATTGATCTTAGATTAATATAAACCGTACAACAAAAAATTTTTGATAATCATATTAAAAAAAGGCAAATTGTGTAACTGTATGATGAACACACAAAAAAATCTAGCTTAAGTGTACAACAAGGTCATTATATATGTATTCAGAGGCCCTCTGCTAGCTTTACACGTTTTCATTTTTGCTGCCTGCTTCCACATTGCTTTGCAAGGCGTATTTCACGTTGGTTAGGTATTTCATTCTCTCTAAACTTTACGTTTTTGAAGAGTGTCACAACTTATAAATTTATTTTCCATTATGTATACTAAAGAAGTGGCTAGTATTTTACTTTGTTCACATATCATAATCATCACTTCAAATTACTATATTTAGAATAAAATTACATTAATGTAATAAAAAAAATAATTATGCGATTTTTATTAATTTTTTAATTTTAATAATTGTTAATGAAATGATCATATGATACAAGTTTTACATTTTATTTTAACACATTTACACATTTAATATATTGTTCTATTTATTAGTGCATTTACTCAATTATTTATCATGTTTTGTTTTCTAATTCTAAGTTTGCAATTCTACAAGTGAAATTTGATAAATAAGGTAATACAAATTTTTCCACTCTGGACTCTCAACGGTTTCCATTTTCTAGTTATTAATAAAAGCTGTTAAATAAACGTATTTTTACCAGAAATTTTTATTAATTGTCATGGTGGTAGTCGCGGTGATATGTAAGGTGGGGAGGCGAAAATACTGAAAACATAAAAAGTCTTATTAATTACATGATATTTTCGAGCCCACATTGCTAATACATTATTAATATTGCTTGAAAATTGAGCAGGGCTAGAAAAAGTTAGTGTATTAGCCTATTAGGATTTAAATAGTAAAATTAATCTTAAAAAATTATAATGAAAAAAAAATGTTTTACGTTTCAGGTACACCAAGAAAATTCACTGCAGTTTTATAAATTTCTATAAGCCCGTCAATTGTGATTTTATAGATTTCTTTATAAGCAGATAACTTTTTATCTTCTATTATTAGAAAAAAAAATGACAAGAGAAAACGACCAGAAAAAAACTGAGAAAAAAGTGACAAAAAAAAATGGGGATATTTATTTGGTTTTTTTTTGAGCGAGTTCCTTAAAAAGATTTTTTTTTATATGACAGATATAAAGTGTTCTTTCTCTTGCAAAAGACAGTTGCAAAAGACAGTCTTTTTATTCATTTTCTTTTTTTACTAAGCCTCTTTAGAAATTATTCACGAGAAAAAAAATTTTCTCATGACCACTCTCTATATAAATAACTACAACTACCCCTCCCCAAGTTATATTTCAAACAAGGTAGAATCGACTATGTGGTATGTACAAAATAGGGAAAGGTGGTATGTAAAAAATGGGGTTTTAAAAAAATGTGGGGTAAAATGGGTGAATAACACAAGTCTAAGCTAGAAATAGTGGCTTGAGAATCCGTATATATTTAATTAAACCTTTGCACCATTGGGAACGGATGAAAGGGCTGCATAAATTGCAGCAGCTTCAGCATGTGAAGAGGAAGGCCAATGTTTAACAGTACCATGAGCATACGTGGCAACAGAGTTCAGATGCAAATCATGAATCTGAACCCAACTCCATCCTATAGAGACCTCAGGAGTACCTAAGTGTATAAGGGAGCCATCAGTGTAAAAAACATAATGTGCATCAACAGGGTGTGTCAGTATGGTATTGGCATAAACTTGTTCAGCCAAAGAAGCAGGAGTAGAACAACTTGAAGGTCAATCAATGAAAATTGGGAGAGATTGATAATCGATTTTTAAAATCATGGATGGGCTTGTTGATCATCGACCATGAAACAGGAGAAGATATTTGTATCACAGAGGTGGCAACATGTTTTGCGCAGTTGGGAAGACCATAGCCGAGAGAAGAGAAATATTAACGGTACAAATTTGAGGATTAGAAGTGGAATTATTGTAATACGTCCTCTTAATATTTATTTATTTATTTATTCCACCAAGAGTAGTAAAACCTATCTAGTACAAATAATAGCAATCAATATATCGACCATGTCTAGCATAGGAAATTCATCCAGCGCTGGGAACTAAATTCCCATACCACCAGACCTCATCCTTTGATAAAGAGAAAGGCTTGACCTAGGTGAAACTTTGCCGCCTAAACAAACCCATACGAACTGGGTGAAAATAAGGAAGAACCAGGGCAAGCCCCTCTAAAGCTAATGAATGTGACCAATATTGGAAGCTACACTAATTTAATTTACGTAATAAGCTCAAAATCTATGCTAAAATCTCATTGTTAGCTATATTACGCCCCTTACTCTTTGAGGATTTCTGAGTTCTTCAACTGGTTATCATCATTAGCAGTCTTGGTCGAGGACTTCTTGTCCTTCTTCATAGGCTGATTACTATTCGAACTTTGCCTTATCATTAAGAAAAACTTGAGGAGTATCTAAAGCCTTGAGTGTGGTCTCCCAATTCTCAAAATAGCCTACAAGTTTCCTCTTTCCTTGACTTGTTTGTATAATTTTAAAGGCGCTAGCACCGCATGTCTGTAAAAATAATTGTGGTTTACAGTCATTCCAAAAGGTAGCCATCATCATATCTTCCGGAATATCATGAATGACAGCTTGGAACTTTTCGTGTTGTTTTCATTCTCGTAAAGTCCAACTTGCGGGAAACCATCTCACCGGTATACCTTCCAGGTCAGTCGTCCAAAACTTATTAAATTGGGGAAGGGTAAATGAGTTCAAACTATTTTGACTCTAAGAGTCTGATATTTGTGCTGCCGTTTTACTGACAACTTGATAGTATGACCCCATAATGTTAATTCTCCTAAGATTTTCTCAACGTCCCAGGTATATGGAATATCATATACAATAATGTCTCTGACTTGCTCTTGCTGGTCATCGGCTTCTTTGTATCCTGTCAGTATTTGAGTGGCCTCGGGTATGGGTAAATTCTTCCCCTTATAGGGTTTTTTGGCTGATGTTTGTGCACCAGGATTTGCCGTTGTTGATTGGTTCTTGACTTGTTTATCATCTGTAACATGCGCCTTGCACAGTTTGATCAGGCATTTCAAGTACTAGATTTGGTGTAGTTATCGTATTTGATGAGCTAGTAGATGTAAACAATTCTTCATCAGCGGAGGAACATTCCGATTCTGTGTCATCACCCATATCACTGTATAGAGTATAGGCGCGGGTAGCAAATTTATCCCATGACTTGGACGAAGCGTAAAGCACTATAGAAAATATCAGTGAGGTTGTATATTCGTCGCCTATGCCTGTATAGAAAGTTATTTAGGTTGGCACTTTCTCCAAAAGTCACTACTAGAAGCTGAGCTTTGTCGAACTGAGCTCTGCAGTAACTTCATGTAGATATTGGTATCCATTATATGAGATAAACTTTAAAAAGTCTTCTGTGTTATTTTTATTTCTAATTAAGTCTCCTATGTCTGACATTTTTATTTTATGTAAAAAATTTTAAATAAAGTTAAAAAATTTTTGCAGGAGAAAGAGTTTTCCCTCATAATATTTATTTATTTTTATTTATTTTATGTGAAGCCGGCAGAGAAACAAAGCAAAGGATGGACTTCCCTCATAATATTTAGATTACATCCTCCACAACGAAGTAAGCAAATTGGAGTGTCAGGTGACAAAGAAACGTCCATGAGCCAATGTGATACCACACAAGTTTGTCTTTTAGGTTGGATTGCAAGTTGTTTTCCAAAAATTGGGAAACTATCATTAATAGAAACAATCCAACATCTCTTACTGACATCAAATTGATCACAAGGAGAGAGGGAAGTAGTGTTGGAGAACGAAGTAAAGTTGGTGGGATGAAATTCGTGTTTGAGCACACTGTCAGAATTATGAATCGTGACCTGAGCTGCTAAATCAATATACCACTTTGAGGGCTTGCCTAATCCACATTTATCATAAAGCGCAAAATATATGATGACCATGGGAGAAGGTGAGAACCATCATCAGAAAGATTTCTAAGTGAAATGAAAACTCTTTCCCGAATACATTTTTTACGAAAATTTCTGCGTAATATTTTTTTTTAAAAATTAATTCCCTTTATTAAAAAAATGTCTATGGATAAGAGCCGAACACCAAATGAAGAAGCTTTAGACTTCATTTCCAAGTTTAATGAAATTTATTTTCAAACTGTTACATACCACTTAAGTTCTTTTATACAGGACGGTTTCCTCAAAGACTTATTTGAAAAAAACCCCTCAGTACTTAAGGATAAAGCTCAGTTACTGATACAGAAGTTTGGCGAGTCAGCCAACCCTGCGAACTTCACTGCACAAGCTCAAGCTATGAATATACAACCCACCACCCTTTCGCTAATATTTTCTATAGCACTATATTCTGCGTTCAGGTTTTGGGATAATTTTTCTACCCAATACTATTACAAATTTGGTGATACGGGTGATGATGATGATGATGACGAAGACGATAATTCTCAGGATACTGATGATTATCTAATGGATAGATGTAGATGATCTTATACGCCAAGGATTCCAAAAACCACCAAATCCAGTACCTATCAAGCTTCCATCAATGCTCGATATAGTAACGCCCCCTGTTGATCAAACTGTAATACCTGAAAATTCCCGGAAGAAAGATAAACAAAAGGTGCATGTTACAGATGATAAACAAGTCGCGAACCAATCAACAAAGGCAAAACCTGATGTGAAAACATCAGCCAAAAATTTCCATAAGGGAAAGAAATCATCCGAACCAGAGGCTACACAGATACTGACAGGATACAAAGCTGTCGGAGAGGAGCAAAAGTGAATCCAAGACATAATAGTTTACGATATCCGTATACCTGGGACCTGCAAAAATTATAGCAGAGTTAAAACTATGGGGAATACTATCAAGTGTTTGGTTAAACGCTAGCACAAGTATCAGACTCTTCGAGTCAAGATAGCACTATCCTCCTTTGCCCTTCCCCAGTTTAATAAATATTGGACGACAGACCTGGGAGGTATACCCGTTAGATGGTTCCTGCAAGTTGGACTTTACAAGAAAGAAAATAACGTGAAAAGTTCCAAGCCGTTATTCATGACATTCTGAAGGATATGACGATGGCTACCTTGTGGATGGACCGTAAACCATGTGAATTTTTAATGAAGTGCGGTGCTAGATCATTTAAAATAATACAAACAAGAAAAGGAAGGAGGAAACTTGTGGCCTATTTCGAGAATTGGGAGACCACACTAAGGGCCTTAGATACGCCACAGTTTTTCGTACCTGATGGTAAGGAGTTGAAATGGTGTCAACACTCCATTCCTACCTTGAAGAAAGCACAAAGTAAACCGAAGGCTAAAAATACACCGAATACGAAAAAGTCAGGTAAGTCTGACAAGAATTTGGATCGTAATCAGCCTAAGAAGAAGGATAAACCTACATCCTCGAAGAAAGTCCTGAAAAATAATAACCAGGAGGAGAAACACCTGAAGAATCAGAAGAAGGCAAAGAATACCTCGAATATTAAGGGTGGTAATAAGATAACAAGGCGGTTTTAGCAGATATTTTAACTTTATTACAGAAACTAGTTTAGCCTATGCTTTAATTAGCGGTTTTACAAATTTCAGAATTGTATTATTTTTTAGGATAGAATAGGTTTATGTGTATGCTCCACAATTTCTTGGAAAGGGGACTTGTCCTCTCCACTTTTTTCCCCCCTATTTTTACCCAGTGCGTTCTCCTGGATTATTATCGGTAGTGGTATTTTTTTTTCAAGAAGTTTGGGTTGTATTACTTCGGAATCATGCTCAGTTTTGTATCCCCTGCCAGCTTCACATAAAATAAATAAATAAATAAATAAAAACCATCATCAGAGACAAGATCCTAAAGGTAAAAAATCAACCGTTTTTGCAATAATGATAGGTGTGAAGTAAACAATTTACGTACAAGCAATATAATCTTTTTTGAAAGAAAAAAGAGAGGTCTAAGGGGACCAATCTGTTACCAATAAAGGAGAAATTGTAATCAAAAATCTATATTGAATAGTAAGTAATCTAATAAGAAACAATGTTTAATAAAAGAAAAGAGAGAATTAGCCAATAATAACAAATTAATTAGATGGGATTGTTGTTGATAAACAAATAAATTAATAAGACCCAAGGTGTTGCATAAATACAAGGAAAGGCTCTGGATAAGTGAGCTTTGTGTTTCACCAAAGATCATATAGATACAGTAGTAGAAAAACATTCAGCCTCAGATAGGTGTGTAACTTGCATACGGTATTCTAACTTCGGAATAAGGACTGTATTGTGTAAATAAACCACTTGTTTGGCTGATAGTTTGGCTGGTCGTGTAATGGCAGCGAAAGCAGCACATTCTTTTTTGATTTGGGATTTAACGAAGTTGTGAGAAGCGTTGACGTTAAACTATACCCCAAAAATCTGAAAGAAATAGTTGCAGAAACTGGCGTAATGGTAATTTTATCAAGAAATTTAATGATGATGTCTTTAAATTAAATTTAGATAGTAAAATTCCTCGGTAATAGAGAGCATGTGCTCAAGCCCAGCCTTAGATGAAGCAATTAAGGTGGAATCATCTATGAAAACAAGATTATTAACTTGGAGAGGTTGAGCTGAAGCCAGAGTAGGTGAAAATGATGTAGTGAGATCCAGAATGTTAAGAGAATAAAGATCAACTATGGAGGACTTGAGAACAGTGAGTAATGGATTAATATATATAACCCAGAGCAAGGGTGAAATAATCTCCCTTGATCGATACCAATTTGCACTCTATAATCACTAGTTCTCAAAATAGCAAACTTAAACTAAAAAGTTAATATAATTTTACATTTGAAAACAAAATTTATTATAGGTTATATAAAATTAGGACTGAATTTTTTTAGTATTATTCAGGGTCTCAGCCAAAGGCACTGGTTAGAATAGTCCATTTCGTCCAAATTTTAAATTGATGAATGTTGGACGAAAGTTGGTCAAAATTCGGCCGATCATTGCCAAAAAAATCGTCAAAATTATTATGGACGATTTGCACAGTTCGCCTGCCACTTAATAATTACAAATCGGCAAAAATTCGTTATTATCGGTAAAATTTGGAAACAAAACTATTTGTCAAACTTTTAGTTATAAAATAAACACAAATCGATCTCAAAACACATTTACGAAAGATTACCAATTTATTTCTTTTAAAATGACAGATTCTGTTTATTCATAATAATAATAACCGATTTTATTCAATAATAAGTCAAAACAATTAATTATATATTATTTTAATAAAATTTATTAAATTTACTAAAAAGCAGTCAATAGTGCTCCTAACAGATCAGATCAGATCAGATTTTACTTAAATTCAATCTGATCTGAAATTAATTAAATCTGATCTGATCTGATCTGATCTGAATCAGATCGGTTTTAAATTTAATCTGAATCTGATCAGATCTGATCTGGTCTGAATCTGATCTGATCTGATTTGAATCTGACCAAATCTGATCTGATCTGAATCCAATCTGATCTGATCTGAATCTGATCTGAATCTGAAATAAATATAAGACCCCAGACAACTTTTTGCAAATTGACTCTAAATTTCAAAAAAAATCAGTTTTTTGCGATTATCTTGGTATCTAGTGATCCGATTCATGCGAACTTTTTTTTATTTTGTAGCTCTCATCGAGCTCTACAAAATAAAAAAAAATCCGCATGAATTGGATCACTAGATACCAAGATAATCGCAAAAAATCAAAAATAAAAAAAGAGCAAATTGGGTCTTTTTTGGCAAAAAGATAGTTAGTTATGAATTATATAAGAGATGTCCAGGGTCCTATAAATATATTATAAAATTAAAAAAAAAATACATTTTATTAAATATCTTACTATTTAGTAATTTTAAAAGTTGAAATACAGTCCATTTAAATCTTAATAAAATGAGTTAAATGGTAATAGTTTTGTATTTTTAAATGTAATAAATAGTGAGTTATTTAATAACTATTATTTTACAATTAAT